TACTACACACTTTCAAATTTAACCGAGCACAAGGACAATGCATCAAGTAGGCAGTTTGCAAAGAGTATAACATTTAAAATAACTTAATAATTCTGCACGCTTAAATGCTGAAACTTTGCAGATTAATAAAATTGTTTTGGCATTTATATGTTGTGTAATTTTTATCTGTTCTCATAAATTATAAGTTAATGCAATTTTATTTTAAGATTGTCATCCGCATATTCAGGATATCATTTCCAATAAATGGTTTTTATTTCCTCCGAAACTGATTGATTCATAGAATATGTTCTAATAAGGCATCCGCCATGAGTTGAATCTATTTAATTTGTTTGTTTTACTAAATCCTAATTTACATTCATTTTTGAAAGTCTTATTTTCAAAAACTAAAATAAAAGGTACACAATGAAATTATTTTTGAAGCGAATTATTAACCTTGAGTTCTACGTCAATTGATCGCCATCGTCGCTACTTATCTGCTCGCTGTTATATATACTTTTTAATCATTTTACTCCCAAACAAGGCGATAATGCCGCTAAGACGCAACGGGTTACTGGGAGTGGAAGAAGATGAGAAAACTTTAGTTAGGGGAAAGGACAATAAAAGAACAGGTTTCAGGAAGACAGAAAATGGCGATTGACGTTGCATTTACATTTTTGAAGATCTTCAATGGCAGGGAAGCAAGAAAGACAGGGCGAGAAAAGAAATTATTAGAATAGTACTTGTGGTTAATAAAACGATGGGATCTAGTTTCCAATCTCATTGTATGAGTAAAATCCCGCGGGCTTACAGTCACATCAAGTTGAAACATCGGTTCCATTACGATCACCGAAGTTAAACAACGTCAAACCTGGTCAATAACTAGATGGGTAACAGCTTGGGAATATCAGATATGGTAAGAGCAGGTGGTGTTATGGATAATGGTTCGGAATTGTTAATCGGAGAGCAGAGTTCCAATTCCACTTGGGTTCGTTATATTAAATTTCGCGCAAATACCCTTGGGAAAGGTACTAATCCACCCCTTCTCCCCAACTATGGGTTAATTAGTAGTATCATTAAGACTTGTATCTCTAACTCATTATTATCTCCCCACCTCCAAAATTCTTAATTTAAAATATTTTTGAGCTTTAAATAATTTCAAAAGGGTTGCTGAACTGTACAAATCGAATAAAGTCACGCGGTCGAGGTACCAACAAGGAGAGCTTATTAGAATAACTGCCATGTAAACCTCGATTGCATGCATTGTTGTAGTTGAGATATTGTGTTTCTAATTATATTTATCTGGTTGATCCTCGGTGAACTAAAGAAATCGATCCAGTTACAGCTTCCGTATAAGCCAGCAGCTTACTTGGAGAAGAGATGGACATTGCCAAATACATGCCATTTCTCAATGAAATGTCATGAAAGAGAAAATCACAAAACCCGACAGACATGTCTAAACTGGATTTGCAACAACCACTTCCGGTCATGAGACAGACAGTAAAAAAACATAAATGTTTCCTAATTGAACACCAGTTACATCAAAGACCAGTCGAAATGTTCAATCGAAAATTCGATGTTAATGCCAATAATTTTACAAGTCTCGAATGTCTGTGTGTGACATATTGATAATTTCACGAATGTCTTTATTCAAAGTGAAAAATATGAACGCTTGGTCAATTTGAAAATATAAGAAAGATTTAATGCTTTTCTTGATGCGAGTAACTTGAATTGGACGCGGAAAATATTTTAAAAAACATCAGAGAAGATATTTCTTTCCATTTATTGATGCCAAAAATCCCAGAAGAGACAAACTCCAATCAGATGACCAGATCAAATTTATTCAACAGAATAAATTCTCAGAAGTTCATTTATAGGAATTAATATTCCCAGGAGTTAATTTATAACGACCGCTTTTTTTTTTGCAGAAAGTGAAGATTGAATAGGTCATAATGACCGTTTCCCTCCTAGAGATTAAAAATAGATGAAACCATAATAGCCATTTTCCAATAGATGGATTGAAAATGAAATAAACAGATAATAGCCACTTTTCAATAGATAGATTGAAGATGCAATACCCCATAATAGCCACTTTTCAATAGATAGCCCGAAGATGAAGTCATCCATAATGGCCACTTTCCAGTAAACAGACCGAACATGGAATAACCAATAGTGGCCACTTTCCAATAGATAGACTGAAGATAGAATAACCCATAATAGCCACTGTCCAATACATAGCCTGAAGATGGAATAACCCATAATAGCCACTTTCCCATAGAGATTAAAGAAAGAATAAGTCATAATAGCCGTTTTTCAATAAAGTTAAAAAGGTTAAAACATTCAGAAAATTTTGAAAAATATAGATATCAATGATTTTAGAGCATTTTCAAAGTTGACATTTGTAAATAACAGTTAAGTGACTTAGTCTAAAAGTCAGGGATCATTTTGGCATTGTATCGAATCGATTTTATAAACAGGACACCCGATCCAAATCGATAATCACACAATATTCTGGCAGTTGTCACAGCCTAAGGAAGATCTAGAGAATGCTAATCTGCAATCAGTATCGCTCAAAAAGTATTTCCCTATTTTTTAATGAGTGGACCAGTGTATTTAATCTATTGCTTTCCTTCTCACACAAATCCATACTAAGCATTCATTTGCACATATATGCGTACAGCCTTTCTGAATATGTTGATAAATATTAATCTTGATTATGTTTAGAAAGTATACGCGTTTTCACAAGGGTTGCTCAAATATTCAGATTTTCACAAGTGTTGCTTGTTTTGCATTTTGTTTTGTGGTTGAAAGTACATGCCTTCAATATACATTTTATCTTCAACCGTTCAATTATTTTAAACCGTTGAAGACAAATGCAGCCCAACGTGTCTCTCCTACTTAACGCCATCCAGCTAGAAGCCTTACTAAACTCAGCAAAAATATTGCGAAAGAACGAGACTTGATCTCTTCAGTGAAAGGCATCAGATTCGACTGTTGGCCAAAATTGACCAAAGACGAACAATAATCAGTGAGTGGTAATTGATAATAAAGAGAATGCAAGCCAGATTTGTTCTGAATGTGTAACTGAACGATAATTAAGCGTTTCTTTGTTCTGATGTGATGCGAAGATGGACAAATAAGGTAGTCGTTCTCACGAAATACGCCTGAAGCAAAATTACATGTTACGAAGAAGAAGGAAGCTAAAAAAATAAAGAAATAGAAATTAAACAAGGAAACAAAATGAAAACTGGCATAGGTAACAAAAATATTGACAAAAGAGTATTTGTGAAACTGTTTTATTCCAATTTTATCTGCCGTTTTGTTTTTTGGGAATTACGACAATTGGAGGATTTAATCATTTTTCTTCGACAAATTATTTTTCTTAGAGTTATCTATCTATCTATCTATCTATCTATCTATCTATCTATCTATCTATCTATCTATCTATCTATCTATTTTCTGCTTAGAGTCTATCTATCTATCTATCTATCTATCTATCTATCTATCTATCTATCTATCTCTGCTTAGAATCTATCTATCTATCTATTTATTCTCTGCTTAGAGTCTATCTATCTATCTATCTATCTATCTATCTATCTATCTATCTATTCTCTGCTTAGAATCTATCTATCTATCTATTCTCTGCTTAGAATCTATCTATCTATCTATCTATCTATCTATCTATCTATTTCTTCGGGTTACAGTTATCTTCTTAGGGTGAGGGATAGAGTTACCTGTTTATCTTTTCTTTCTTCTTCCACGTGTTTCTCTTGCTTTCATAAGTGCTACGCACTGAATTTGTCACTCGCGTCTAGATAAAAAAATATTAAAATAAATAAATATAACAATGAAGCAAAAACGGAAAAAAGAAAAAAAAAACTTTTTCTTATTTTTCATTTTTTAAAACTCTATTCATCCTATTTTCCTTGGCAAGGTGACTCCCAAATTTCTCTTCCTTCCTATAGGACGCGATTCGCCATCAACGTCAACAAGATAGAAGGAAAGAATGGTTGATGTTGTCCGGCTTTTGGGGAAGAGCGTCATTGTTCCATGGTCTGTGTTGCATTTACGACATGCAGCGAGTTGTCAATGCATTCGTATTGCTCGGGGCTTTCCGCAAACAATAAGGGTCATCCAAGGTTAGTTATTCGCATTGCGGATGTCAGAGCGGCTGGTTTGGAAAGGAAGGAAAGAAGTAGTGAGAGAAAAAAAAAGAACAGGAAAAACATAAGCGACGAAGGAAAGAAAGAAAGAAAGAAAGAAAGAAAGAAAGAAAGAAATATTGTAAGGGGATTAAAAAGCGATGAAAGCGAATAATAATATGGAAGTACTGTGTGCGAGAGAGAAAGAAAGAAAGAGTGAAAGAAATAAAGACAGAGAGAAAGGAAAAGAAAGAGTAAATACGACAAAGAGTGAGAACGATAACCCCCCCTATCAGACATTATGTCCTGATGACTAAGACGCGAAACTGGAAGATAGTCACCATATAGTTTGATTTTCTAAGTTCACACTTCATATCTATCTATCTATCTATCTATCTATCTATCTATCTATCTATCTATCTATCTCAGTTTGTTCCTATCTATCTATCTATCTATCTATCTATCTATCTATCTATCTATCTATCTATCTATCTGAAGACATATAGTCTTAAGATGTGCTATATTTATGGGATAAAGTGTTCAATATCAGAGATAGAGCGTGTGTAAATATAAAAGTCAACACTTAGAGGCGACAGTCTGTTTCATGATAGTTGCAATCGTCAGGCCACAATTGCATATAGCATGAAACAGACTGTCGCCTCTAAGTGTTGACTTCTATGTTCACTTTATATATATATATATATATATATATATATATATATATATATAGAGAGAGAGAGAGAGAGAGAGATAATAGTGGATAGTGGTTCGGACTGAGGAATCAGAGAGCCGAGTTCGAATTACAGTCGAAGTCATTACAATCACTTATTTATATAGAGTTCTGATATATAAAAATTTATATGTATAATTTTCTCCTGACTAATGGCCATATCACATTGAAACATTGATTCCCATACGACCACCGAAGTTAAGGAACACCGAGCCTAGTCAGTACGTTCATGAGTAACTGCTTGGGAATACCAGGTGCTGTGAGCTTTGATATGCGGGCAGTTTAATATATAATAGATCCGAATTTTTTAATCGGAGTGCCGAGATCCAATTCTGGTTGGGTTCATTCTATTCACTTAGGCGCAAATAACCTCGGGAAAGACATGAATCCGCTTCTTCTCTTATCCAAAAATATTTTCTGGTTTTAAATAACCTGTAAAGGGTTGATAAGCAGTAAAAAACAAACCAATCAATAATTTTCTATTCATATGTGTGTGTTTGGTTAAATAACAAGGAAAGCTTTTTCGATGTCCCGGATTATTTTCTTAGTTTCAGGTTTATATTCAAAAATATATTTTCCTATGTCTAAATAATTTTTGTTAGCGTTAGTCATATACAAAAAAGTTTTGATCTTTTGGTATGTTGTCGTTTTCATTTTTAAATATGACGTTTGGCCTGTTTTTGTGACAGTTCGTGTCATCTATTTAATTATTTATTTTATATTGATATATATATATTTAGTGTATTAGGTTCTAAATTGGATGTCATTTTATTAACAACATACCATTACCAAACTTGTATAAATGAAAAATACACCCAATATAAAAATCTATGAAAGAAGTCTGGAATCAGAAAGTCATCTCAAGAAAGTGGGGTTTATCACGAATTAATGCATTATGGAAACAGAAAGGTAGATACAGAGGTATCTCATGTGGATCCATCATGGTGAATGTATTAATGAACATTATATTAACTAAGCTCTGATCGTTTTATGAAAGTCTACTCCTAACGACCCAGTTTGTTTTTCGTTCTTGTAAGGGATGCAATGATGTCATCAAACAACTCCATGAAATTTCTTAATCCTCTCATAGGAAACAGCACACCTGCTATGTCGATCTCACAGCAGCATATGATCGCATCAATAGAGATTTCTTCATCTCATGCCTTAGAAACCATCTTCCAAGCTTTAAATATACAGAACGCCTCGATCAAATTGATGAACTCTATCGATCTACAAAATTTTACCTGTCTGGCGAGGACCCGAATACGAAACATTTTAGTCCTCCTCAGGAGGACGTTAAAGAAGAAATGAGAACCCCAGTCTATTTAATCTCCTAGAATATGACATGCGCATTTACAGAAAGATGAGATGAGCACTGACCATTCTATTCTATACCCCATCCCGAACAAGTCTACCAATAGAAGGCAACGATCCTGCTTTCCCTCCCTAGGCCATTCTACTGATCATTAGGAGAGTTATGCTTATGACATAGGTATTCATAGTTGGGATAGGAATGATCCTGCTTTGTCTTTCGAGGCCAATGTACTGTTGATGAGGTGTGTGGGCATGCTGGTGACAGGTATTCTCAGGGTCTTGGCAAAGATCATCCTTATTTGAATATTTTGGGTTGGCGCCACAGAATCATAAACAAATAACTGTACCAAATAATAGAAATTTACATCACTTGAGGACAACCAACAGCAGCAACAACTAAAATGGATAGCTACTCTAACTCGAAGAAAAAATAACGATATAATCAAGATGTTGACATTCCACACAACTTCAAATAAAAGATTAGGAAGGAAACCTCCATCTTTAGTGGAAAGAGCTATAACAGTTACTGGACTTAAAAAAAAAAACTATTTTCCTGAAAAAAAAATGTTTTAAGAGAAAGATTTTATGAATTTAAACCGAAAGCAATGCTGGCTGCTCAGTCAATAAATGAATGCCAAATGTTTCCTTGTAGGGAAACGGCAAATATTACTATTACCACACACACACACACACACACACACACACACACACATATATATATATAAATTTCCTTACTGCTTCAAAATTTATTTTGTGGATATCCATGTTTGAGTAAAATGTTTTTAAAATGTGTTAATTACGTTTGCAGCGTAACCAATTTACACAAGAAATGTTTATTTTTTTTTTAATGTACTTATTTTTTAACGCAATTAATTCAATGAGGAATAATCATAGTATAACAGGAATATTATACGGTGAAAATTTCAGATCAATATTCAGAAAAATGCATAACAGATTTATTGATCCACGTCACAATTTCCAAAATCTGACCGAGTGACCAAATATCAGAATTTTGTTTTTAGTCGGACTGAGAACTTTTACACACCCAATCCGATCTATCTATCTATCTATCTATCTATCTATCTATCTATCTATCTATCTATCTATCTATCTATCGCAATCAGTTCATTATCTATCTATCTATCTATCTATCTATCTATCTATCTATCTATCTCTGCTTGTTCATACCTATCTTAACATGGTCATATCTATCTATCTATCTATCTATCTATCTATCTATCTATCTATCTATCTATCACAATCAGTTCATTATCTATCTATCTATCTATCTATCTATCTATCTATCTATCTATCTATCTCAGACTGTCCATTATCTATCTATCTATCTATCTATCTATCTATCTATCTATCTATCTATCTATCTCTGCTTGTTCATACCTATCTTAACATGGTCATATCTATCTATCTATCTATCTATCTATCTATCTATCTATCTATCACAATCAGTTCATTATCTATCTATCTATCTATCTATCTATCTATCTATCTATCTATCTATCACAATCAGTTCACTATCTATCTATCTATCTATCTATCTATCTATCTATCTATCTATCACAATCAGTTCTCTATCTATCTATCTATCTATCTATCTATCTATCTATCTATCTATCTATCTATCACAATCAGTTCACTATCTATCTATCTATCTACCTGAACAGTGCCTTTAAGCGGAATTCTTCTCGTCATAAATTCCTCGAAATAGCTCTTCTGTTTCATGTTCAAACGTAAACAAAGTAATTTTCTAAAGAAGTTATGAATTTTTAATTATTTCGACGGATTCTTACCACTTTAAAAGTTATTAGTAGTGGATACGCATATTTGAGTAGAGGCTCCGTTTATTTATTAAACTGTATATTTATTTATTTTCGTTTACCAGCCTGAATATTCGAGAAATCTTATTAAAGAAAAATATGCATTTTCCGACAGGATTCGAACCTGTGTCCGCACTGGGCAGAGGGAAATCGTCGTTAGGCCCGAGTAGATACGAATCCGAGGAATCTATGATATGCCTAAAGGCACTGTGAAGATCTTGCTTGTTCGGCAAAACCTCTTTGTAGCCAAGTCGGTTAAGACACGTATATATATATATATATATATATATATATATATATATATATATATATATATATATATATATATATATATATATATATAATAAAAAGGCTTAAACACTAATATTCCATGGTCATAATTTATTCCATTGGAATCGTAAATACGATCCAAATCATCAGACCTACAAATTCAAAATGAAACTTTTTATTATATCCTTACTCTGTCCTAGACATTGAGTTCTACTTGGATCCTTCCTCTTCGAAATTTTTTTTTTTTTTTTTCTGAAAATATACATGTATGGGAATTTTTTTATATATATTTTGCATATGTATGTATATTTTCCACTAATATTATATGTTTAGGGTTTCAAAAACTTTCTGATGAAGCTGGATCAACAATGAAACATCAAATTTATAAAAGGTTTTCGTACTTGTATCATATTTAATCATTTTATCGGATTTAATCCATATTTTGTCCCTCGCTCTGCCATCCATTCTCACAAGTTCGTTACGTTGTTACTTTTCTTTGCTATTTCCCATTGGCTCTCATGCCTTCAATATGCCCTGGAAGTGTCAAATTCTCCAAGCTTTCTATCCTCATTATGTGATTCAGAAATTTCAACCGTATTGATGTGGGGGCCAAAGTTGGGACCACAGAAGTAAAACACGGAACACGGATTAGATGTAAGAAAGATATATTAACAACAGGTTACAGAGATAGTGTAAGCGGAGCTTACTATATGTTAGTGTCCAACACTGGTAGTCGTACGAGTCTCTCGCTGACTCTCTGCGTCACTGTGTAGAGTGTTGTGTCGCATACTTAATATAGACCTGGAAGAGTCTATTGTGTAGGTAGTTCCGGCCTCACAGTACGTATCTTTCTGATTCTAAGTATAAGTCTTCTTTTCCTTCCTATTTTCCTTAAAACTTTTTGTTGCTCGCATGTTTCGTCTATTCTCAGTATCATTCTGTAGAACCGCATCTCCATTGCTTCGAGTCCTTTTTTATCTGTGAGGAATTGGTCCTGCATTCACTGCCGTATAATATAAGATGATTTATATAGCAGTTCAGTACTCTTATTTGTTTCTTACGACTTTTCCTCTCTCTTAAGACATTAAAAAACGAGTTTACGTTTCCAAAATGTCTATAGCCATCTTAATCAAATTAAGAGAGAAAGCAGTCACCTCCGCATTCAATTTCAGGATCCATTGTTAATTTAATCAATAAGGTTGGGTATTGATGTAACAACGTAAGGAAGAATGAATCTTTCGATAGGGTCCGCCTATGCTATTCATCGTGAACTTGATAATATCTGGTCATTGATTATCGGTAATGTCTTTACGGTAAGTCCTTCTTTCTGGAAATGGGTAGGATGTGTGTGTGTATGTGTGTGTGGTGGGGTGTAACTGGCCTCCTGGTTAAAATGAGGATTTCTTAGGGCGATGGATTCGTGGTTTAATTAGGGTCTTGATTAGAAAATTCTACTTAAGGAGGGATAAGTAAATCGATTGAATGTCGGCCTTATTTGAGAGAAAATGATATGAAGATGACCACTGTGCAGATAGATACTCATTACACGATAAGCACACACACACACACACACACACACACACACACACACACACACACATATATATATAGCGAGATTCCAAAATTCTAAGAATGTGAAAATCTTTCGTGAGTAATCTGTAGTACGGAGTTATGCCGCTTCACTTTGTGAGCATTTTTTTAAAGCATTATTGAGACAACATAAGGACCATGACTAGAAATTCTTGCTGATGGCTAACATTGATGGAGAGGTAATGCATTCGTTCTTTGCTATATTTTGATCGAGAGAAAGAGAGAGTTACACGCACAAGCTGACACACACATGCATACGCACACACGCACGCGCACACACATACACGCATATATATATATATATATATATATATATATATATATATATATATATATATATATACTAAAGAACGCGAGTAACTGAAAATGTATATATATGGAGAAATATTTATGGAATAAAGTGCTCAATATCAGAGATAGAGCGTAAGTAAATATAAAAGTGAACATGGAAGTCAGGACTGAAGGCGACAGGCTGTTTCATGCTTGACGCAATCGTCATGTCATTATATATATATATATATATATATATATATAGAGAGAGAGAGAGAGAGAGAGAGGAGATAGAGAGCCTGAGAAAAAGATGGTTATATATAGATAAAGAGAAAGAAAGAGACTTAGAAGTGAAAGAGAGAGTAAAAGAAACGAAAATAATTTTTCTTAATCAATTTTCTATGACGCCATGAAATTAATTCGTGGACTTTAAAGGATTAAAACTAAAATAAATGGACATAATACGTCTAATCTATTTAACCAAACCTGTTTGAATATAAAAAAACACACCACTGTATATACGTGTGTATATGTGTGCATGTATGTAGACACAAGTATATATCGATGGGTATTTGTGTACATGTATGTACAGGTATGAAAAAAATAAGAAATACCTTTAGCACACGTATATGCCTGGGTATATGTATATGTATATGAATGTAACAGTGTATATATATATATATATATAAAGAGAGCGATGGATAAATTGTCGTTTCATTTAAGCTAAATGAAAATAACACTGCGGTATAACATCTCCTTTTAACAGATATATTTACGAAAATTACACAAAAATATCTTGAAATACAAAAGAGTACATTTATTCAATAAAATCGCCATTGACTTCAACCATGGCCCCAAGTCGACTTCAGAATCTCCGGTTACTCTTCTGAACGATCTCCTTGTTTAAGTTGGTGAATGCTGCCAATTGGTCTCTCGTTCAAATGCCCCCCCCCACACATTATAATCAAGTGGACTGCAGGCCGAGGAGTTAGGTGGCCAGATGTAAGGGGAGATGTGGTCGCAGAAATTGTCTGACAGCTATGGCTGGGTTGTCCGGCTTGTATGGCATGGTGCAGAGTTCTGTTACGAGGCACAGGGTCTACCTGCAGCCACCCTCTTGACCCAGTGTAGCACTACCTCCTCAATGCACTTGATATAGGCCACTGTGTAGGAGTCTGAAGCCCGTGGGAAGATGAAAGGAGGAATAACGTCACCATCATTAGTAGTCACAACAAACTCCTTTGAAATCACTATTAGACACATCCAACTTTTTCTGAATCCTTTGCACTGTCTTTAGATTGGCACCTAAACAAACCGAAATGTTCGTATTTTGAGCTTTCGACGCAAATGCCAAGCATTACAGCATGCAGGCTCCAAATTTCTAACGGAGTGAATTGCGTTATTGTGTTCTTTTTCTCACAGACGGTTCCCAACTGACCCTACTATACTGTTCAGTCGCCTAAATAAAAATACAAATAACGCGCACGCGCGAAATTAAAAATACAAAATTGTGACAATTTACCTATCGCGCCCTATATATATATATATATATATATATATATATATATATATATATATATATAATACAAATTCCCTGATTTAAAATCCTACAATAGAAAATGGCTCTAACACAGATATAGATAAAACAAATAGAGGCAGATAGACTCTCTTCATGTCTCAAGCGAGGACAATGCTGGGCAATTTATTCACAGATGAAGTAAAGACTTGTGGCACTACAGAAGGATGCTGAGAATCTCATGGACGGAAAATATGAGCAACAAAGAAGTTTATCCAACACTCATAGAGCCCGCCTATGCCTTATACCGCAGCTATGCTTAGAGCTCCTTAGTTACAGTTTCTGGGAGAGAGTGGATCATCTCGTATGGTCAACAGTTTCAGCAAGATTAATACGCCCAAACTATCGGCCACAATTACTCGTGACTTCGATCCGGCGCATGCTTCGACGGCCTCCGAAAAAATTCATTTAACATTTTACTGACAATTTTATTCGTTTTCTACGGTTTATCATTGCAGGTTGTTTAAAGCTAGGAAATATTTTAGATTGTAAGAAACTGTTTTGTAGAGATAATAATGGTTTAATGATACAAGTTTTACTAATTAACCCATAGTTGGGAGGAGAATAATTGGATTCATACCTTTGCCGAGAGTATTTTCGCGTAAGTGTATATAATGAAATTGGTTCTCCCATGAACAATTTCGAGCCATTATCCACTCGTGCATCTAAGGTTACAGCACCCTGGTGTTCTCAAATGGGCACCCATCTAGGTACTGAGCAGGCTCGACGTTTCTTAACTTCGGTGATCTTACGGGAACCAGTATTTGAACGTAATGTGGCCTTAAATCCGAGAAAATTCTGAACGAAAAGGACACTTATGCTAAGGTTCTGAAAAAAAAAGAAGTTGAATTTTCTCTAACACATAATGAGGAAAGAGAGCATGGAGAATTTGATACTCACAGAACGCATTGAAGGCAAGCGGGAAAGATCTACTTAAAGAGCATGCGTAAATAGGTAGCAGGACAATTATTGCTTAAAGTTATAAAGGATAGAACGTTGTAGAGAGCCATGACTACACATGTCCAGAAGGAACACGACACATAAATGAAATCATATCAAAACGGATTGGCATCCGTCATATTCCAACCACTGTGACGTGGCTGACCTCATTCCTTTCTACAAATATTTTCATGGCAATTATTCTGATGAGCTTTTCTACTTACTGTCCCAACTGCATAAATTTAAACATTCTACTAGATTGGCAATTAGGTCTCAGCGTTTTATCGTTCAGCTAGCTAAATGCAACTGTATGTTCTATTCTAATAGTTTATCTTTTTGCACTTCTCGCCTCTTCTGGTTTCTTGCTTGCCTGCCACCTACAATCATCAAAAATTTAAATGTAACATCAACCGGCATCTTCTACCTTACTGAACCCTGTTCTTTTATTGTCGTCTATCCTCACTAAAATCTTCTCATTTTCTTTCACTCCCTTGCGTCTTAGTCTCATTATCGCCTTGCTTGGGGTGATATGATTAACAAAAATTCTTGGCTTGCTTTGAAAATCAGAAACTTATGTTTCTTTGCCGAGGTTTGAACAACGAACATATATATATATATATATATATATATATATGTGTGTGTGTGTGTGTATGGGTATAATACATCTATCTTTGTTTTTTTGAAGGTAGTAAATATTTACTAAGCTTAAATTAGTCCTGCATCAGTCTAAATGCGGAAAATAAGATTGGAAGATTGTGTTGCAACAGTTTTCATTGTGTAGGTACCTGTTTTATAAATCAAGATTTGCATTCTTGGAATTGACCGAAGATCGAAAAATCGATCAAATGGGAAAGCATACTTCTGCGAGGATGAAAGTATTCATTCATATTAAATAAAAATCTCAGTGGAATATCTAGTCTGAAATAAAGTTTTGTTCTGAATTATTGTCATTTGTTTATATTTAAACCGCTATTGTTTAATATTTGATTCCTTAAGCATGTTCTCAGATAACCACGATGTCAATGATAATGGAATCAATAAAAATAATTCTTTAAAAGAATGGTTTCTCTTTCATTTTGAAATAAAATTGATTCTTTGAATAATTTCTCCTTAAACTAGTCTGCCTGCCTTGTGAAGATTTTTCCCAAGATATTATTGTATCAAAGATATGATTTATCATTTAATTTTGCGAAACATTTTCTATTCTACAAGAGTCGTTCAAAAAGTTCTATGCCTCATCCAGGAGGAATTCTGAGAAATAAGAGTGTTTTTCACTATTTATCAATATAGTCCCGTTTGACATCAATGCACTTGGTCCAACAGTGCTTAAGCACTACAATTCCATCACAGAAGAAGAAGGTGGCATCCTGGTCCTCAACAGCAAATATGATCTCATCATTGTTTTCAAAATGGCGACCACACAGGTGGAATTTAAGATTAGAAAACAGGAAGAAGACAGATAAAGCTACGTCTGATGATTAAAGGGGATCGGGTAGTAATTCAAAGTTACAGTTGGCTACTTCAGCTACTGCAACATGAGCAGTGTGAACGGGCGCGTTATCCTGGAGCAAGAGCACACCTGCCCGCAGCTTCTTTCTGTGTTTCGACTTGACTGCTTCCTTCAGTTATCTAAATTCTGATGCAGAGTATTCTCCATCTCATATTGAGTTACTAATCTGTGGTGGAAATTCTCAGGGCCAACCTGGAAGCGAGTCAAAAGTGTCCTGAAAATATCAACCTTTTTCAGCTTTTTTCTCGGGACCTATCTAGCAGACAGCTTGGTCACCTCCAAGTTCTCAGTTAAAACAGTACTAACCAAACCAGAACTAATGCCTATGGACTTATACGCTGGACAGTAAGATGTCTGTCATCCAAAACCATATGGTAAATGGCATCAACTTGACTTTTTGGATGACCTCTCCAATGGTCATCTTCTGTGCTATTCCTGTCATGCTTGAATTCTGCAACCCACTTTTTCACAGTTGCATAGGAAGGGGAGTCCTCAGCAAGTGTCTGTATCCTGTCCTCATGGATTTCCTTGGGTGTTGTATCTTTCTTTTACAGATGCTTTATGACTGCTTGGATCTCTGTTTTGTTCATTTTCAGATTTGTTGAACACTTCTTGCCTTTGTATGAGCCTCACCTGCATAGAAATTAAAACAGAAATATGAATTAGCTTTATAAGAAGTGGTAGTGTATTGCCACAGCAAAAATGTTCAGTTATAGCTCTTTTTTCTGGGAGAAGCTAGGGAACTTTTGAACGACCCTCGTAGACAAAGTAGTTTAGATGTAAACAAGTCATACAAGTTCATAACATCGGAGTTTTTTTATTAAATAAGAATTACAGGCAAATATGCA